GAGAGGGGGTGGAGGCCCCATCCCTGGGACCATTCCCGGCCAGGTTGGCCGGGGCTGTGAGCAACCTGATGTGGTTCAAGGTGTCCCTGCTCCTGCAGGGGGGTTGGGCTGGGTGACCTCTGGGGGTCCCTTCCAACCCAAACCATTCTATGGTTCTATGCTGTAGGTTGGGTGCGAGATGCACGGGATGAGCTTCACCTCTCAGCAAAGGCTTTGGAGAGAGCCCCTGTCCAACCCTAACTCCTCCCGCCGCTGGCAAAGCCTCGGCAGCCCCCAACCACCATTACGGGTGAACCCCACTTGCAGAGCAAGTGGCAACGCAGGCGCTGAGCTTGCACAACCAGCGGTGAACCCCTCCTTCTCCAGCACATCCACGCGCTCTGCCTGCTCCCCATCCCGCTCGCTCCTAACACGCGCAGGTGCCACGGGAGCCAGACGGGTGCTGGCACTCGCCCTGGATGGTGCACACTCACCCAGGATGGTGCACACTCGCCCAGGACAGTGCACGCTCGCCCAGGACGGTGCATGCATGACAAAATGGTGCATGCATGCCCAGAATGGTGCATGCACACCCAGGATGGTGCACGCACACCCAGGACGGTGGACAGTGCACGCTCACCCAGGACAGTGCACGCTCACCCAGGACGGGGCACGCTCACCCAGGATGGTAGACAGTGCACACTCACCCAGGACAGTGCACACTCGCCCAGGACGGTGCACACTCACCCAGGACGGTGCACAGTGCACACTCACCCAGGACAGTGCACGCTCACCCAGGATGGTGCACACTCACCCAGGACAGTGCACGCTCACCCAGGATGGTGCACACTCACCCAGGACAGTGCACGCTCACCCAGGATGGTGCACACTCTCCCAGGACAGTGCACGCTCACCCAGGATGGTCCACGCTCCCCCAGGACGGTGCACACTCGCCCAGGACAGTGCACACTCACCCAGGACGGTGCACACTCGCCCAGGATGGTGCACGCTCGCCCAGGACGGTGGACGGTGCACGCTCACCCAGGACGGTGCACGCTCACCCAGGACAGTGCACGCTCGCCCAGGACGGTGCACACTCACCCAGGATGGTGGACAGTGCACACTCACCCAGGACGGTGCACGCTCACCCAGGACGGTGGACAGTGCACACTCACCCAGGACAGTGCACACTCACCCAGGACGGTGGACAGTGCACACTCACCCAGGACAGTGCACGCTCACCCAGGACGGGGCACGCTCGCCCAGGACAGTGCACACTCACCCAGGACAGTGCCCGCTCCCCTGCCGTGCTGGAGCTGCAAGCCCTACATTTCCAGCAGCAGCAGGGCGGCATGAAATCCCATGCATAATTCAGCAGCGCCGGGCTGCTCAGCTCCCGGGGTGCGGCACGGGAAAGCCCAGCCGTGCCCCTCCACCCCCCCCCCGTGCCAAACCTCGGGGCGGGAGGGCTACCAAGGCGACAGGGATGGGCTGAGGATGCTCCCAGACCCTGGGTTTAAGCCAGCTTAGCCGACAGCCCGCTGCCACGGCGTGCCCGCTTATCTCCGATCTGCACCAACAGCAGGAGAGGAAGGGAAGGGGAACGCGATGAAGCAAGACGGGACATTTCTGGGCCCAGAGACCAGACCCCGGCGTTGCACGCATGCAGTGCAAAGCAGGAGGGTTACCATCCCCTTCACAGCGGCGATAGGTGCCCCAGCCCCGCGCAGCTCCCACGGGAGCGGACGGAGGAGATGAGCAACCCGCTGCCTGGAGCAGCCGCTCGTCACGAAATGTCCTCCCTTCTTGGCGTGTCCTTGTTTCCCGAAGAAAGGGAGCAGCGAAAAGAATTGATTGCAAAGCCTGCGCTGATGACCAATTAAACAGCTGCTGCTTTGCTGACACCCGACTTAAAACAGGGCCGGGTTGGTTTTTTTTGGGAGAGCAAAGCGATAGGTGCTGCACTCGCACGGGGAGCGATGCTCCCGCGCTGGGATTTTGGATGAACCGGCCCAAGCGGGGATGTGGCTGCTGTCAAGGGAAAACCACCGTCCCCCAGACCTGGGAATTGGGCTTTGGGGACAAGAGCGGACATCTGGGACGTGCCAAAACCACGGCACCTGGCCGTGTTGAGCAAGTCCCGCTGCTAAATCCCACCTGGGCCGGGGAGACCTCGGCAAGGGTCGGCGTCTCCAAGCTCCGCACCAAGCTCAACGCCCCCCAAAAACGCCTCCCACCCCCTTGGCTTCTGCCTTTGGCAGAGAAACGCTGCTTTCCTTTCCTGAAGGCTTATACAACAGGGCTCGGCCGTGCCATCAACCTCCAGCATTCCCAAATATTTTCCATTCATAGGAACCTCGAACGGGGCTCCGAGAGCTGCAAATCCCCCTCTCCCCTATGCAACCTTCAGCAGCGCCGCCCCATTAAATACACCCCAGCTTTTTTAATAACCCCTAATGCCCCATTTCCCGCTAATTAGGGATAGAACCAGTGCCATGAGCAATGGGGATGTAATAAAAAACCATTTTCTGCCCAGCCCAGCCCAGCCCAGCCCAAAGCGACCAAATAAAGCCGTAATGAAGAAAACCTGGGATTTTCTATCGCTTTGCTGCGGCGCAATAAACCGGTTCATCCAAGTCGGTTCTTGGCCACTTTTTAAGTGTTAGGAATATAGAATCATGGAATGGTTTGGGTGGGAAGGGACCCCCAGAGGTCACCCAGCCCAACCCCCCTGCAGGAGCAGGGACACCTTGAACCACATCAGGTTGCTCACAGCCCCGGCCAACCTGGCCTGGAATGGTCCCAGGGATGGGGCCTCCACCCCCTCTCGGGGCAACCCCTG